CTCTCCCACACACACACACACACACACACACACACACACACACACACACTTCACTTCATTTCTGAGTCATTTGCTGGCATGCTCAGTGGGACTTCATTCAGTCTGTCCTGAACTTAATTGAATTAACTCTCAGACACACACACACACACACACACTAACTCACTCACACACACTCTCTCTCTCTCTCACACTCACACACACCTGCTGCAGGTTGTGGTAGAGCTGCTGCTGTGTTGAGCTCCCAGGCGTGGGGTCCTTCAGACTGCTGTGAGCTGCCCGCAGCGCTGCCTGTCTGTCAAACATGTGAGTGCTCTGCCGCTCCAGAAACTGACGAGCCCTGAAGAGAGACACGCTCTCATTCCACATGTACTGCCTCACTCTGAGAGAGAGAGAATAACACACAATAACACACACTCCAAACCCTGCTCCGCTGTCCTGCTGTAACTGAACCATCTCTGAAGACGCAAAGCACTGTTTGGAGTCTGTCTAACACATTGCCAGCTGCTTCCACCCCTGATTCACACAAACACTCACTCGTCTACGCTGGTGTCGCTGGCGTCTGACCGCAGCAGCGGAGCCTCCAGATCCTCCAAACGCAGACCGTTCTCTGTCTTTCTCTTGCTCTTCTTCTGCTCGTCCTCTGCTCCGTCCTGCTGCTGTTCTCGCTCCGCTCTGCTCCTCTGCTCCAGTTCACTGCACACACACACACACTTACTTGTTTATACTACTTTGTGGGGTCCTAATGTCTCCACGAAGATGGTAAAAACAGAAATATACTAAGACAACATCTTAAAAATGACAATAAAGAATGTTTAATAGAATGTTAAAACTCACAACAGTATGGACCTAACCTACACCAACCCTAAACCTACCAGTCACAGAAACCTAACTTCATTTTAACATTTTTATATATATAAGAATGTTTAGAACATTTGTATGTAAGACTGTTAGATATAAGAACGTTGAAACATTTTTATATATACTGTAAATATATTCTGTGAAGGGGTAGCGGTCCCCACATGGGAAAAAAAATATTCAAAATAGTAAATGATGTTTATGTGAAAGTGTAAGAATGCAAACAGGTTTTCTGTAAGGGGTAGGTTTAGGGTTAGGGGATAGAAAATATCATTTGCTCAGTATAAAAGTAATAGAAGTCTATGAAAAGTCCCCACAATTCACAGAAACAAACGTGTGTGTGTGTGTGTTTGGTGATGATGAGTGTTACCTGACTCTGGAGGTCAGCTGCTCACATCGCTCCTGCAGAAGCGTGACTCTGGCCTCCAGCTCCCGTCGCTCCTCCATCATCCTGCTGTTCTCCTCTCTCTGTCGCTCTCGCTCCTGTCTCTCTCTCTGCAGATCTGCTCTCATCCTCTGCAGCTCCTCACGCAGCTCATCCCGCTCCTTCAGCAGCTGCGAGAGAGACTGCACACACACACACACACATCAGATACACACACACACAC